CATCATGACCTTGGATTAGGCAACAGGTTCCAAAAAAACAGATTGGAGTCCATCAAAATTAAAAACCCCTGTGCTTCAAAGGATACCATCCAGAAAGTAAAAACAAGTATCTACAAAATATATCTGATACGGGCCTTTCATCTAGAATATAAAAAGAACTCTTACAACTCAATAATATAAAGAACAATAACTGAAGAAAAATAGAGGGTCTGAATGAATAAAAAATTTTTCTAAAGGAGATACACAGATGGCCAACAAGCACTGAAGATTTAAGTGAGGAAGCAAATCACCTTTGAGCAACACAAAACAAAATCATAAAATAAAAAATTATTCTGAACCTGGGGCCACAACTGAAAATTGTGTTCATACCTATTTTCTGGAATCATGGAATGCAAATACAAAGAGTGTGCCTATGCAAAGATGCCTCTCATTCTCTTAAAATAGATTGAGTACCTACTATGTGTGGGAAGCTGGCTCCTATTGAGGAGATAAAATTTATTTTTTTAAAGATTTTATTTATTTGACAGAGAGAGACACAGCGAGAGAGGGAACAGAAGCAGGGGGAGTGGGAGAGGATGAAGTAGGCCTCCTGCCAAGCAGGGAGCCCGATGTAGGGCTCGATCCCAGGACCCCAGAACCATGACCCCAGCTGAAGGCAGACTGAGCCACCCAGGCACCCCGAGGTGATAAAGTTGAAAATAAAATCTTCTCCCCAAATGTCTATAAACGTAGTAAAGAAAACACCTGTATTATCAGATAGGCCTTACACCAGAATGTGACGTGCATCACAGGCAACTGACAAAGACAGAAAGAAATCTCACCCTTTCCGTGTTAGCTAACCAGGTACAATCTGTCTCAATGTAAACAGTAATAACTAGTCCTCCAGTAAGAGGACTAGACAGTACCACATAGTTGATCCTCTTTGTGGGATGACTATCTAGGTCATCTATTTGGTTTATCCAAAGTAAAAACACACTTCTCATACCTTTATGACAGGAATTAGCTGTGCAACTTTGGAACAAGACGCCCATTAAAGTTAGTCTCCTAGGAAACTGGGAGATTGGGCGCTTTCTCTCTGGATGTCTACACTGCAAACAGATGGCTCCGGGAGCCCTTCAGCAAGGTTTTTCTAGGTTTTAGGTCGTAAAGCTGACCCAGGGCCTAGCTAGTCTTCAAAAGGAGTTAGGTACATTTCAAAGAATACTTACAATGATCACTTTTCTAAACTATATGCTCAAAAAGAGTAAAATATTTTCAACAGGAAGAATTAAGCGTCTTTTTAATCTGCGTTTTATAGTCCTACACATTACCGACACACTCTGCAGGTAAGACGCCGCCCAGTGCAAGGCTGGCGGCTGAGGAACAGGATCTCGCACAGCTTTAGCGGTGGCTAGCAGCGGGAAACCAGGGGCCGGATTAACCGAGAACTGTTGGTTTAAGTCGTCTTCCAAAGCGGAATTTTGATTAAGAGTACACAAGGATGCGTGGAAGCAGCAAGGTTTTGGGCTGAAGGATTCAAAGACGGAGCATGAATTCTTTCCACCCAAGGGAGACTGGGTCTTTCGGAAACTCAGTAATGACCGCTCAAACCACGTGCGTGGCTGCAGACTCGGGAGACACCAAACCGCACGCTAAAGCAAGGTGTGAGGTGTGATCTCGGCGCTCTCGGGCCGGGGCCGAACCTGGCGGCGACGCTGCGGAAAGAATGCCCGCCGAGCACCCCGCCCCTCGCCAACCCTGTCCTGCAGCACGTGGAAGCGCTTTGTCCGCCACCGGCGGTCCCAGGACGCCCACGGGCCGCCCACTCCTTCCCGGTGCCGGCCGGCGTCGTAGACCCTCCCCTTCTCCGAGTGGCGGACACTGCCCGGAACTGCGCGTAGCACAAGGACTACTGGCGCTACGGGCGAGCGACGGAGACGGACCCAAAAGTGACCACGCACCTCTCCCCCGCTCACGTGACCTTCTGGGGTTGGCCCGGCTCCGCCCCCCGCCGCGCCAAGAACAGACGCGGAGCCGCCTTCTTGGTCTTCTGCGCAGGCGCAGACCTTGACTCGCGCTGGTGACGCAATCCTGCGCGGACTCGGGCCCCGAGCGAACGTCGAATCACGTAACTCTGCCCGAACGGCCGCCGCAGTCGGACGTGCGCACGCAGCCCCCACCCCGAGCCACGGGAGGGGGCGGGGCCGTCTGGGGCGGGGCGGGCCCCGCGGCGACCAATCGGTGGCGCCCGCGCTGTTGTCCCGCCCCGCCCAGCCTGCCGTCGGTCCCCGGGGGCCTGGTCCGGTGGACGCGCTGTAGCGGCGGCGGCGGCGACGCCGGCTGGGAGGTGAGTGTGCGGCCCGCGGGCCGTTCGGGCTTCTCGCGCCAGCCGCTGCCTCCCGACTTGTCCGGGCGTGGCGAGCGGGCGGGCCACGCGTGCCCTTGAGGAGAAGCGGCGGGCCTTGGGGGCGCAGGAGTCGGGGGCGGCCCCGGGGTCGGAGGTCCAGGCCCAATCACGCGGGCGCCGTGAATGCCTGCGGCCCAGCAGGCACCGGATCCGTTTGCAGAGGGGGCGTGTGTCCCTCTGAAGTGTGCGGGTCAGAAGGGCCGAGGGGGCGGGGGCGTGAGCCGTCGGAGCGCGATGCGGACCCGGACGCGGCCGGCGGGAGCGCCGCACCCTCCTTAGTGCGGAGGAGCGGCGGAGAACGGCCGGCGGGAGGGAGATGCTCGGGGACGGAGGTGCGGCCGGGCGCCAGCCAATTACGGTGGGAGATGCAGCTGTCACCCAGGCCAGAGGATTCTTGTCGCCATGATCGCTGCCTTCCCTTCCTGTGCTGAGACAGGATGGGAAATCATGCTCAGAAACCACTTTATTGATTGAGTCAGAAATCGCTGTCAGGCCGCCTGTAGGTTCGCACGTCTGCTTAAGGGCCCGGTTGGCAGAGGTTTGGGGAAGTGGAGGGCTGCTGGTGAGGATGGACATCAGGTTGAGCGAGCCCTCTGCAGCCATTTCTCCGAGGCTGGGGCTGGAATCAGTGACAGTCCTTGGCATAGTGTACCGCCCCTCCCCCGCCTCACCCATCTAAGCTTGGTGGGTGTTTTCAGTTGACGATGGAGTCTTCTTCCGGTGACTGCTCAGGCCTCCTGGATGTTCTTGTTACAGTTGAACTCTCAGAGGGCAGTCTTTTTTCATGTTTGGGGGTGGCTGGTGGTTGTAGGAAGCCAACTGTAGCCCCAGGTACTGGAAACAGTATCACTGGTGGGACTGGAGAACTGGGTAGAGGTGAGGCTGGTTTTCCAGGGAAGATGAAGACAAGTTCTGCCCTAGACGTGTTGAATCTGAGGCAACATCTAAGATCTGGCTGAAGGGGGTTAGAAGGAGGACAGGTACTTTGGATGGGTGGTGGAGATTTAGGAACTAAAACGTACTGTGAAAAGGAAGGTAGATTCTAGAGCATAAGGTTGGGTGCATCTTGAGAAAGCACCTAGTCAGGGAGTCTGAGGCAAGAGTAGCTCCATTAAAGCAGAAGTGACCCATGCTGGTGTGGGGTGCCACGGAAGCCAGGGGGAAGAGCCCTTGGAGTGGGGAGTGCAGTCTGCAGTGTCCACAGCTGTGGAAAGATCTAGGGAGGAAAAGCAGCTCTTTGCATTTGGCACTGCTGAGGTGAGGGGCATGCTGAGCAGTTTCAGTGTGAGTCCAGAGCCCCACCAGGCCCAGGCTCAAGTGGCAGCCCAACCACTTACTCTTATCTTGTTAGTTCCTCTTCTGTGAAATGGGAATGGTAATAGTAATAGTGACAGTGGCACCTACGCCTGGTGTATGGGAAGCCAGTAGCAAGTAGCTTACAAGCCTCAGGTGAGGCTGTAAGCGCTTGGCATGTTTGTACTCACTGGAGCCTGATGGGCTCTGGCAGTTCTACAAAGGAGCAGACTCTGGTTCAGAGAAATTAAGTTACTTGCTCAAGGTAGCACAGCTCGTGAAATTATTCTCGTAGAGTAGCGGTAATTCACTTATGAGGTGTTTAGGGGTGCTGGAAATGGCCATGGATTGTGGATTACTTTTTCATGAAGTTTTCCTCATGGAAAGTAGTTATTTATTTAGTTGGTTGTTTTCTTTTTTCTAAAAAATTTTTATTTATTGTCAGAGAGAGAGAGCGCGTGCGTGTGTGCGCACAAGCAGGGGGAGCGGCAGGCAGAGGGAGAAGCAGGCTCCCTGCTGAGCAAGGAGCCCGATGTGGGACTAGATCCCAGGACCCTGGGATCATGACCTGAGCTGAAGGCAGACACCTAACTGACTGAGCCATCCAGGCGTCCCAAGTTGGTTTTTGTCTTTCTTTCTTATTTTATTTTATCTTATTTTATCATATTTTATTTTATTTCTTTATGAGAGAGAGAGAGCATGGGGAGGGGCAGAGGGAGAGGGAGAAGCAGGCTCCCAGCTGAGCAGGGAGCCCGAAGCGGGACTCGATTCCAGGACCCTGGGATCATGACCTGAGCTGAAGGCAGTCAACCTACTGAGCCACCCAGGCACCCCAAGTTGGTTGTTTTCAAAGGCAGACATGATTCTCTAAGGTTTGGTGGCCACGTGTTTTGTTTTAATTATTTGGTTTCCTGGTCAAAGAGCTAGACATTATTGTTGCTATAAATTCTGTTACGGTTTTGAGGTCTGTGTCCGTAAGCAAGTTAGAAAATGACCTAGATAAGCAATTACTGCTGTACTATATTTCATTAAGCATCACTTTGGTCGGTTATATTTATCATTGGGAGAAACCCTAGTAATATTTTTTGTGTGTATGCAAACATTATCTTATGAGGGTGCATTAGGACTTCGCTTTAGAACCCACTAAGAAGTGGTGTGATTTGTATCTTTAGCTGAGGAAAGCTACGTTTTGGCTGTTAATCAGTTTATATCCTCTAGAGAATTGAAATAATCCTAATTTTTAATCCTTTCACTTCAGTGTTTGCTCAGGCTTGAATAATTCTTGTTTCTGTTTTCAGAGCTGTTATTAGAAAGAAGAAACATGGAAAGTGGCGCAGTTCTGCTGGAATCCAAATCCTCACCGTTCAACCTTCTGCATGAAATGCATCAACTACGCCTTCTCGGTCACCTGTGTGATGTGACTGTCAGTGTGGAGTACCAGGGCGTCCGCAAAGAGTTCATGGCTCATAAGGCGGTGCTGGCAGCCACCAGCAAGTTCTTTAAGGAGATGTTCCTTAATGAGAAGACTGTGGATGGTACGAGGACTAACGTCTACCTAAATGAAGTGCAAGTTGTTGACTTTGCCTCGTTTCTTGAGTTTGTGTACACTGCAAAGGTACAGGTAGAAGAAGATCGGGTGCAGCGAATGCTAGAAATGGCTGAGAAACTAAAATGTCTGGACTTATCGGAAACTTGTTTTCAGTTGAAGAAACAGATGTTAGAGTCTGTACTTCTGGAGTTGCAGAACTTCTCTGAGTCTCAGGAAGCAGAAGGGAGCAGTGGCTCCCAAGCTGCTGTTGCTCCCGACCCCAGGGCAAGTCCCCCTGGGGACAGTCCTCTCCCTAACGGCCTCGGGGATTCCTCCGATCCCCTAGTGGAGACAATCAGCAATGGTGTGTTGCCAGATGTGCCCCCGAGGAAGTCCAAGGAGAAGCCAGACAAGAAAAAAGATGCAGTCAAGCCTCCCTACCCGAAAATCAGAAGGGCCAGTGGAAGGCTGGCTGGAAGAAAGGTGTTTGTGGAAATCCCTAAAAAGAAATACACGAGAAGACTGCGGGAGCAGCAGAAAAGCGCCGAGGACGACATGGGGGTTGCCCGCAGCCCCCGGGACCCTGACCCGGAGGCCGTGGGAGCAGAGATGGAGCCCGTCCCGAAGCGTGAGGAGTGCGGTGTGGGGGTGGAGGTGGCACAGGTGCTGCCGAAAGCAGGCAGCAGGGAGGACGCAGGCCGCGGGGAGGGGGAGGACGACGACGATGAGGACGAGGAGGGCGAGAAGAGGAAGAGCAACTTCAAGTGCACTATCTGTGAAAAAGCCTTTCTGTATGAGAAGAGCTTCCTGAAGCACATCCGGCACCACCACGGGGTGGCCACCGAGGTGGTTCATCGCTGTGACACGTGCGGCCAGACCTTTGCCAACCGCTGCAACCTCAAGAGCCACCAGCGCCACGTGCATAGCAGCGAGCGCCACTTCCCGTGCGAGCTGTGCGGCAAGAAGTTCAAGAGGAAGAAGGACGTCAAGCGGCACGTGGTGCAGGTGCACGAGGGCGGCGGCGAGCGGCACCAGTGCCAGCAGTGCGGCAAGGGCCTGAGCTCCAAGACGGCACTGCGGCTGCACGAGCGGACGCACACAGGCCACAAGCCCTATGGCTGCACCGAGTGCGAGGCCAAGTTCTCGCAGCCCTCGGCGCTGAAGACCCACATGAGGTAGGGCTGTGGCCGCCGGGCCAGAGCCGCTGTGAGGGTGCTCTTTGCCCACGATGCGGCCTGTTTGTGTGCTGGGGCTGGGGGTGTGGAGAGATGGAGGTCATGCTAGGGTTTGACCGGCGTGGCTGTGTCTGCAGACGTTCCACTTCTTAATTTGTGCCCTCTAGAACTTGGCGCAGGGGGGCTGCTTTGGGACGTCTGTGAATTCTCTTCTCCACTCAGCCTTCCTACAGGCCCCAGGCTGATGGCCATCCCCCTCACCCTGTGCCCAGTGCCAGCGCAGAAGCCTGGACACGGAACCCAGGCCCCGCCTGTCTTGTCGCACGGCCACTGCAGGCCAGGCTTTCCCGATCCCAGAGTAGCCTCTGGAGCTTACGGTGCCCGCCGTGCTTATGCTTGAGGGCCATTCGGGCTAATGACCATCATTGCTGTTTTCCTGACTCTTCATTAGAACTTGGGCCTGTGACCAGCTGGGTCCCACGGTCCCATTAAAGACCTCCATGAGAGGACATTTAGGGCTTTAGGACACTCTGGTCGTAGGTGTTCGTTCTCGGGGCTTGGAAAGTGCCACTGGTTAGTCTAACCTCCAGCATCAGGACAGTGTTTTCTGTTCATAATTTTTGAACTGTAGGTGGAGTACACCAGTTTTTAAATAGGTTTACTTCCAGTGCTGACTGTTTACGCTTGAAATCCAGACGAGCAGTTTCTCCTCTGTTGTAGACCTGCTGTCAGGCTGGGGCATCTTTGGGGTGGTAGCATGGTGTTCATTGTCTTTTTACTCTGTGATCAGTTAAAACCTTGGCGTAGGAAGTGCGCAGTGAGTCGTGGTTGATGGCTGCTTCATACTGGTTGTGAAACTCAAATGCTGGTGCACGCTCCTCAGAAACCAGCTTTCCTTAGCATTTTGAGAACCGTTCTTTCTGGACTGGTCACGTCGTCTTAGGAATCAACGGTAATATTTTTGATCACATGGTGCTTGGTCAGCCGTAGTCCCCAGGGTGTCTGTGGTCGATTACTCTGATGAGGAAGCTTTGCAAATACTGCATGGTACTATTCAGTGGTGAAGAGAGCGAGCAAAGGCGAGTGTCTGCTGGCCAGGGCCGTGCAGCGCCCCCCGCCCGGCTGGCCTCCCACGGAAACGGACTTGGGGATGGAGGTCGTGGGCCTGTGTATTTCCACTTCAGCCATTCCCATTCGGTCTCTTGGAATAACCATCTTTGCAGGCTAGCGTGGAAATTGTATTGCAAAGTGAGCTTTGAGATACATCCTAAGTTATCATCTGAATGTTGTACTTTCAGAATTCATACAGGGGAAAAACCTTTTGTCTGTGATGAATGTGGTGCAAGATTCACTCAGAACCACATGCTGATATATCATAAAAGGTGTCACACAGGTAAATACTCAATGCTGTTGTGATTGAATGTCTTTCTAGCTGTAGAAGAAACTGCCATTTAATTTAGAAGTTGGCATCTACCAAAGTGGTGCAGGCTAAGGCCATGATATATCTTTTCCATCTCATAAGTGAGCAAAAACGAACAGCTCACACATGCCCGGGGCTCCGGTGCTGGCATGCTCGTGGTGGCAGCCTGTGCACACTGGGCGGTGGGAGCCGGCATGCGAGTCTGACATATCAAGAGGTGTGAAACAGCTCCTGCTGTTCTAGCCCCAAATTCCATTTCCAGGAATCTGTCTTAAAGAAATGGTTCAAAATATGGGAAAAGCTATATGCTGTCATTCCCCTTCTTGCTCTTCCTAATAACAGAGCATTGGAAACAGCCTGATTGTCCAACCACAAGGAAGTGGTTCAATAAACTGGTAAATCCATCCTTTCCCGGTGCCTGATGGGGCCACTCCCAGGGCTCTGAATGTTAGGAAAAACACCTGTGCTTGGATGTGGACTGGAAAATGCACAATTATGCAGACAGCTAGTCCCAGCTACATTGAAAACCTGCACTTAAAAGACTGGATGAAAATAAATTGCTATGTAATGTTTGAGGTGGTGGGATTATCTCATTTCTATTTTTCAAAATTTTGTGATATGATTTTATTACATGAGGGAGAGAATTTAAGTTGACTTTATTCAAATTCAGCACAGCAATGCTGAGGTTCAGAACCTTGTATAGGATACAGAATCTAACTGTTGTATACTGCTGTTATCATACTAACCCAGTTCTTTCTTGCTTGCACTTAAAAATTTTTATCTCTAAACACCGCCATATGAGCCTCAAGTTCAAATGCAGGCGAGGCAGAGCTGAGGCATTTAACGATGGGAATTACTGAGACTCTAAAATGAGAATTGGTGCCTAATGGAAGATTGGGGGTGGAGGTGAGGTCAGGTCTCACCGAAGCATTATGCGAGAACCAGTCATGTGATGAAAATATTAATGTACTCAGGTTCTGTTAACGCCAGTATTTTTATTTTGATGTTTGTAAAGTCAGGGGTACACCTAATAATTGGATGAGTCTGATTTGTGGGATTAAAAGACTCAAACTATACAACATGAAGTGGGAACATTTTTCTCCTGTTCTGTAACCCAGCCCAGGTTAATTGGAGTTGCTGCCCCAGAGCAGCCGTGCATACGTGTCCAAGTAAAAACTTCCTCTCCTCTCAAGGGGCTTTTGCCCTGATAAAGTGCCACATGAGTGCTGCTTTGAAAAATCCAACAATTCCCCCAAACAGGTTGTAAAGTTAATTTCTTGTTTGGAATGACTAAGTTTCCAAAATGTGGGCTGCCTGAATGATCTAATTCTAGGCTAGTGGAACCCTTTTTGGGATTCCCAAGGCTATTTTACCTGAACTTCCAGGAAGTAGCAGGCATCTTACACAAATAGATGTTCTAGGACAGTTTTAACTAGAAGATGTAATGTGCTGCCCAGCACGGTGCTTCTGAGTTCATATGTGTTCTAGAGTGTGGGCCAGCTTGTCAAGTGTTCTGGTGCCTGTATCATTTCTAACTTTCCGTCTCATCTTTTCATGTAGGTGAAAGACCTTTTATGTGTGAAACATGTGGCAAGAGTTTTGCTTCTAAGGAGTATTTAAAACATCACAATAGAATCCATACTGGATCCAAACCCTTTAAATGTGAAGTTTGTTTCAGGACTTTTGCCCAGCGGAATTCGCTCTACCAGCACATTAAAGTCCATACAGGTATGGCTGGCATGTCGTCAGGGAAGGGAGTCCAGTATGGCAAGGATAATGTCCCAAAAGTTTTTGATTTACTAGAAAACTATTTGGAATTTAGCATTGTTTTGTGTGTCATAATAGCATTTTTAAATTTCTGAGTTTCTAGTTTCTGGCCCTGACAAACTGGAAAGGTATGAGTGTTTGGATGTGGATATGCGGACATTTTTAACATTTTCAGATTAGGAGTCAGGGTAATGGTCTATACATATTCGTATACACAAACACAAATTCAGTTATTATGGGACTTGGAATTTTATATTCTGTTACTGCAGAAAAAGGTGAACTTCTGTAGACGTAGTACCAGCTTTTGGCTTTGGCCCTTTTTGGGTGTAGACCATAAATCCTGGTATTAGAGGGATAGATTTGTACCTGTCAGTCGACTCTCGAGTCGTTCCCAGCGTAGCCTTCCTGCTGCTGCTTGCCAGTGGGCTCCCAGCAGCATGACTGCAGAGCGTTTCAGAACTCAGCACAGTAGGCTGGGGAGACCAACCAGTGGCTTTCTTCCCTTCCCATCTCAGGGGAACGTCCTTATTGCTGTGACCAGTGTGGGAAGCAGTTCACCCAGCTCAACGCTCTCCAGCGTCACCATCGCATCCACACGGGGGAGAAGCCATTCATGTGTAACGCGTGCGGGCGGACATTCACCGACAAGTCCACCCTCCGGCGGCATACCTCGGTAAGCAGTGGCGTGGCTTCCGCGGGGCCCGTCGCTGGTCCCCAGGTACACGTAACTCTAGACAGTCAAAAATGCCAGCCATCATTTCATACAGTGGTCGTAGAAGATAGTGGGCCTTTCCTTTGCAGGTTTTCCCTGCAGGGAGTACATTCACAGTGTGAACGGAGAACCGAGTCTCAGGGCCCCAAAGGCACAATCTGTGATAAGTGCTTCTTCACTGTGACAGTGGTGGGAGAGAGAGATTTGGCCATTAGTGAAAGGGTATTTTGCTACGGTGGAAACTAAATTTAAGTTGAAAAGAGACCATTGTTTTGAAAGATGCATTTGTTCAGAGACATGTTGTGACTTCTGTTTTGTGTTTGATTTGTAGATACATGATAAGAATACTCCATGGAAGTCTTTCCTTGTTATTGTAGATGGCTCACCCAAGAATGATGATGCGCACAAGACTGAGCAGCCAGATGAAGAATATACGCCATCCAAACTTTCAGATAAATTGCTGTCTTTTGCAGAAAATGGCCATTTTCACAACCTCGCCACAGTCCAAGGCAGCGTACCCATGGTGCATGAGAACAGTTCTGCAGACACGGCCTGCAAGTCGGATGATTGTGTGGTGTCTCAGGACACGCTGCTGGCCACCACCATCAGTGAGCTTAGCGAGCTGACTCCGCAGACAGACCCGATGCCCGCACAGCTTCACTCGCTGACCGACATGGAATGAGAGCTTAGTTAGCTGCCAAGCCGATCCTATACTGCGTCTCCACGTGTGTGATTGCTGTATGCAGGTTAATGTCAGGGGCTAAGACGAAGAACTGTCTATGGGCAGAGTGGGCAAGAATACCTTCTGCACATTTTCCTGAATCTCTGCTAACTTGCACGTCTTTATCAAAGCATTTTTAGAGCTTACCCTTAAAAATCCCAGTCTGCATGATCTCAGCCACGCTTGATCGACAAACAAGGCAGTTAACATGACCTCACTGGATCCTGGTGCAGGTTGTATGTGTAACGCTTGTCCTGATGTATAGGAAGTTTGGACAACTATGTAACTGTAGAATACAGAGCCCTGGCCCAGCTCATGAAGTTACTGTTAGTGATCTCCCTGGTCTCTCAGCCTGCCTTACCCTTCTGTGTGGGTTTAGTTCTCTGATAATTTTAAGCTATTTTTCTACCAAGCTGAAATAAAACTGGGACCATGTATTTTCAGCTCTTTCCTGTTGAATGGAAGCAAGTCCGTTTTGCTCTGGGGACCCTTGAGTTGGACTGAAGAAATGGATGGTTGCATTCATTCCTCTCCACCTCCTGTCTGTAGGCACTAAAAAAGGAACGACAAATTGAACACTTGAAAAATGGCTTCGTATAATCTGTACTCACAGCACATTCGCAGCTAGGAAGTTGGCCATAGGATAACTGCTGAAATGAAGTGTGGTTGTTGGGTTTCATTCCTAAAGTCTGATTAGATAAAAGCTGTCCTACCAAAGATTCTAGCAGCAAATGGTATAGTAGGTTTTGCAGAGGTGTGAAAGTGAAGAGGCTTTAGAACACTTGAAACACTGTGGAGTCCTTTTATTCACAAGTAGCAATGAGGTGATCTGGCAAATCTTAGAACACAGAGTGTTAGTATTTTTGGCTAGGTTTTCCGGACTTACTCTGTGATTTTCAGAAACCTAGAATTTCTCATTTACGTATCAACAGCCTGAAACAGCCAAGTAATTCTCACGCATTTGTTTCCTTGGGAACATGTGAGCGTATAAGCAGAAGGGACCAAAAGCCTTGGAGTGTCTTTGATTATGCCTTAAGAGTGGATTATGAAGAACCAGGAACTTTGTCTTCAGTGCTCCTGTGGCTGGCTCTGCCGGCCTTCTGCTTAAAATGAATTTGCAGTGAAGTTAATTCTGCTGTATTTGCTAAGCCCGATTCTTGGTTCCAGTGGCTTGGGTGTGTTGCCGCATGCTAAGTGCTTTGACTCACATGTAACCCTAAACATAATAATTTAAAGAGAGAACCCCGAAGAATTCTTTTGTTCACTAGTTGCTCTTTTTCTTACATTTTAATTTATTAAACTTGCTGTGAAAACGTTCACTTTCTGAGAGAAAGGTACTTTATCCTAAGTTCCAGGATGAAGACACAGCTGCACTATGCCAGAAACTAATGTGGGAAGACTCTCCCTAAATGCTTATTTTGTTCTAACTTGTAACATGTTAAGTAAATACTAAAGCCACTCTAAGATGTTTTAGAGGTGCTGATAACATGTTTCACACTCGCTCTTGAAGATGGCAGTACTGAATTTTCAATGATGACAGCATATCCTGGTTGTGTTTACAGAACAACAACAAAACTGCCACACAACCATTTTACTTTTGCTAAGAGAATGAGCCTGCTCAGCTGATGTACTGTTTCATGGAATAAAGTCATCTTAATGAGAAGGAGTTTAAATAATAGATTATTTTGTTACCTACTGGAAGAATTTTTGTCTTGAATTTGTTTCTTTAGAAATTCTACAAAAAATCGTTTAATGTGTTAATAAATGTTTGCTTTCTAAAAAGTTCGGCAGGTCTAGAGTTTATTTCCACTGTTAGAATCTAGGCTCTGTAGAAATAAGATTCTTAATTGGAACAAGTATAATTCTCTTCCATTTCATGAGTAGTGAAATGTCAAATCAGGATCTGTAGTCCTAGGACTAACTGGACTGCATAATGACTCTACACACATGAAAGCCTGGTGGTGAGGGACGCTGGCCTCTGCCTGCAGGGGTAGTATGCCGTGTAGTTGGTGCTGGGGCGGCTGCCGAAAGGCCTCTTCAGTGATGTGACAGTCTCCGTCACGGGCATGTCTCCAACTAGACCCATTTCTCTGTCCTTCCCAGGAGGGTAAGGCTGCGTCCGAGAGCAGAGAAATGCAAAAACCCTGTAGAAGACCCAGCACAGAGGGATTTGTGGGTGTCGTGATTCCTCCTAATCCAAGTACAGTCCTGCTGAGAGAAAGCAAGGCTGGCCTCTGAGTATGTGGGTCCCAAAAGCGTGATCAGAAAGTGCCCAGGGTGCGGGTGGTGCTCCTCCCAGAGCATCATGAAAGGCGACTGCGGGGGTGATTTAGTGCCTTCCAAACATTTTATGGGAAATGCTCTCAGCACAAAGTCCAAAGCATTCTGCCACCTTGGATTTTACCAAAATTTGTTGTACAGAATTTGAAGAAAAAAGCCATGTTGTGGTGGGGGTGGCTGGGGAAGACTTTTATACTAATTGACTTTAATAGAAATGTGGTTTTGCTGTAGGTGATAATCCAAACCAACAAATTTGAGTATAAGTTTTAATTCTAACCTGTTCAGTTTTACACCTTGCCACACCAGGGACATATTTTGAGACCAAATGTGTGCTTGTCTCTTTAAACTTGATGGTGTTCATGTTACTTGAAGTAACGATACTGTTTCAGTGGGGAGTATGAGGCCTGGGGCACTCATGCAAAGGGTCATTTGTTCACTTGTACCAAGCAGGCCGCAAATAACCAAGCAGGCTACAAACGTGGCTCAGACGGCCATCTGGCATATCATCCTAGTTGGGCCCCAGAAATCATCTACTCACTTCTGCCAATCTGTACAGGGACCCTTTACCACAGCTGGTAAAGCCAGGTTTTTAAACCACCATGGTGGCTTCCATTAGGAAAGGATTCTGAGAAGAGAATCTGAATGAGAACTAAATGAGAATGATCAACTTCTCAGAACGCCTAGACTGGAACAGCCTGTTCTACCATTCATTTTTTAAAACTTGCTTTGAATTATCTTTAAGTTGTTGTGAATATATTGATGGACCTGACCACTGTTCTCTGAGGGGAGGAGCCGGCCCCGTGAGAGCTCCTGCCCCCAACCACATCCTCCTCCTCCCCAGAACTTGAGGCCCAAATGGCCTGTGGCTTGACCTGCCCCAGGGGCACGTGTCGCCCCATACAGACCTCCTGCAGAGTTACATGAACACCCGCACTGTGAACAGACTTGAGGGGCTTCAGGGTTCCTCACCCCCCACCCCCCCCCACCTAACAGTCTTCTAGAAACCCTCCCTCCCTGCACCTGGCAGGTGACTGGGGCCTAAGGTATGCCAGCAAGAGTCCCTTGCCAGGGGTGGCCAGAAGGGACGACACCGTGCAACCCAGTGACTGCACCTACAGGCTGGTACCAGGGCTTCCTCATAAACCCTCTGCTGGCAGACCTGCTACAGTGCCCTGCATTTCCAAGTGATGGGGGTTTTGAGGTAGCCAAACTCATGTTTGGATGGATATTCAAAGAGCCTGGCGAATATGGGAACAACTTCAAAGAAAGGAAGCTACTCTTGATTTGTGTAAATTTACATAGGAAAGACCCATCAAAATATTACTCATAATTTCCACTTTATTTTCTGTACAGGGTGACATAAAACATACTCTTTCTGCTAAGGTAGAGTGATCGTCACATGGTTAGTTTTCACAACATAATCCTCCACCGGAGAGCACGAGGGAGGAGACCCCACAGTGCCCGACACCGCACTTGGCAGGCAGGGGCCGCTCCGGGCCACAGCTCCCGCTTCAGGCAGGTGGGTTGCAGGTGGCATGCTGTGCTGCCGGGTCTCCCGAAGGAAGCCACAGAGGTTTGCATTTGGACATTTTAAATGCACAGTATCAGAGAAAACAATAAATGCACACACTTTGGTTACAGGGATGGCATCACACATGGTCACAACTGTGCAAAAATACTGTTTCCAAATCAAATAAAAAAGGAACTCACACAAGCTATAAAAATGTTGCCACAAAAAGCAAAGCTTTTCTGTAAGAAATTTTAACTGACTCTATGAACCCCAGATTTGCTAAAATACAAGAACCAGAACATAAATAGTCATTATATTTTATTCATAAAGAACATTCTGTAACTCCTGAAAACCTAACTCGGGCCTCTGAGTCATGGTACTACCCTATGTTAAAGGGACATTTCAAAAGAAGGAAGTTTGGATAATGTTAATGGGACTTTTTCTTCTCATTTTCCTTTTATCTTCTGGCAGTTCTGTTCTAGACATTACAATTATTTTTACTCTTTTCATGTGAAATACTAAAAACAAAAAATTCTTAACCCAGCCACTGATCCCAGTGTTTATTTCAAGACAAACCAGCAACTCTCCAACTGACAAAACAAAATGGTACCAGTACTGTTTTTATAAACCCCACCTCTTTCTCAGACAGGGATCTGACAGGGGACCATGATGAAAGCTAAAGGAATCCTCTTAAGAGCAATCATTTGGTTCCTACTTTCAGTGGTCAAACCAGATGGTCCTTTTAACAAGTGAAAACAAACCTTGCACACTAGTGATGAAACAAGCAGGCTGGCAGGCTAGGATTTAAATGCTCTCCAGATGGGACAGACTTACAGCCTGAGGACACAGGCAACAAAAGCACCCCCCATGCCTCACTTTCACAAAAGTGCATTTGGCTGATTGTGGAACAGATGAGGCATAGGAACCCACTCTCTGCTCTAATCATTTCTTTGTAAGAAAGTCTGACAGGAAGTGAAGAAGTACCAAATGGGCTGCATTCCAAATTGTACTGTAAGTGATAGCCAGCTTTCTTCTAAGAATCCCAGAACTTTGAAGGAAGGAACATTCATCATATCCCAGGGTGCAAGGCAAGAGTGTCCACGTCTTCTGGTCCATTCGGCCCACACTGTGACATCCCTGACCTTCCTCCCCACCAAGCTGTGTTGGCAAAGGTGGCCCTACAACTGCAGCCAGGAAATCCACAGCCACCTGAGGGACAGCCTCCACTACCAGGCCTCAGCTGGCCCTTTCCAGCTGCCTGAGGGACAGCCTCCACTACCAGGCCTCAGCTGGCCCTTTCCAGCTACTTTCTTGCTACTTTCTCCTTCATCTCAGCCCGACCCAAGCACCATCCCCTTGCCTTCCTCCACACTCAGCCCATTTCGTGGCCACACTCTCTACTTCTGCCCAACATAAGCCTACCAATCCCAGTGGAGGGACATCCAAAAATGAAAACACCCTTCAAATGCCAGTTTCCATCTGACCTAACGTGGGAAATTTCATGATCTGTCTTTAATGACAGCTACATAATTTAGAAAGACCCACAAGCTAGGACTGGCAAAAAATGCATGTCAAACTTAAGTCAGTTAAACATAAAAATACACACAGGGAAGATTCCGGAAATAAGACCATGTCTAAAATACAGTATCTGCATGTAAGTTCATAAATCAATAGAGCACATATTATGTAAACCAAAACGACATACTAAATTCAAACATACAAGCCAAAACAATTCCATTAGCCGAGAGGAAAATCAATTCTCCCCAGAAGCTGGTTGCCCTTCTTCCCCAACTGGACACATAGTAAACCTCTGTACTGTATTTACCCCACCTAACCCATCACGTTCCATAAAAGGGTAAAATTAATGACCCGCTCTCTCTGCAGCCTTAAAGAGGATTCACATGGTGGTGGCACACCAGGCACAGTCTCAACGTGGGTAAGTGTATGAATGTGAAAGTAAGCAAAAGGGACATGCCAGTCAAATCACTTTTATGTGAATATCTCAACTAAAAGTGGAAACTATCTCCAGGAAAGGGAGAAACTGTTTTGTACAGATCTCTCGTGTGTAAAGGAGTACGAATCCATCAGACTCACCCTGACATTCGCCCACACACATCAGCAAGCCCTGCCAGGAAACTCTCTTTTCTCACAACGTTAACTAAGGGATGCTGGCAGACCCCGGCTGTTCTGAATTTTCGCATGCATGTTAGCAAACACAACAATATAAAAAGCAAACAAATGGGTCACTAGCACCGTCAAAAGAATCACGACGACAACAAAAACCATTTCTAGGAAGTGAAGTCATAAAGCTCATTCTTAACAACCATCCCGAACTAAACATGTACACTTAAAGAATACATCCAGGTGGGAATTCATGGAAAATATGCAAAGCATCTATTACAATGATGAGGCTGGGTACTCCAGTCCAAGAAAATGACATAAAAATACATGACAAAGTTGAACACGGGCTCTGCAGATATCAAAATAACAGGAAAAAGATTCTGAAGTAGTTCTCAGAAAACTCTGGGGGCTCTGACAAGCATGAAATAGCCCATCATGCCCACGATATGCACAGGAGCTTCCCAGCCGTCCGCTTCATGAAGACACAAATACAGGGAGTTTAAACACACAGATGGTTTGGCTCATGTGCAACAGAAGTAAGCCATTAAATGGGCATCCCATAAAGATCATGTGGCCCTAACATGAAACTAAAGAGGAGTCAGCTGCATGCCACAAAGACATAAATGTTCACTTTAGGTCCCCATCTCCTTCTCCATCCCCTTGGATGGACTTTTTGATACGAAGCAACATGGTCGTGAGCCACTGATCTAAGCGAGATATTGAGTCAAATTCCTTCACCTAGTTTAAAAAAAGAGGAACAGGAATTAGTCTATGGAAATACAACCAAAACATACACACACAAAAAACCCCAAGCTGTTTAAACATTTCTAGTGATAATCCTTCATTTAAATCATTCATTCTAGTCTATAACTTTATTCATGAAAAATGGTTTGTTTAAATCATTCATTCCACTTTATAACTCTTTTCATTAAAATGGTTTGTTCTGTGACTATCTGGATGGAGCCAGTGACAAGTTCCTGTGCTTTTTAAACCGCTCTGTGTGCTAACATGCTGAGCTCCTAACCGCCTTTGTAACTGGAAGAGCATACTTAATGTGACAAAGGAAACAAGACCCTGTGTAAGAAGGGAACATGGAAAATTCATAGTGTTCTAATATTCACTGAACATGAATCCACGTACTTGCAGAGACAGGATGTGTGAAAGTGGAATCCCTTTAACTCATTTCAGTGCACTACCAGAAAGTGCTTATTTCAATAGGATGCAAATGGTTTGGTAGCCAAAGTGAAACAGGAAAACATTCTTTTCCACTACTGCTTCAAAGCCATGAGTAAATTAAAGGAGGATACTAAGAAATCTGCTTGATTCTAAACATAAGATGGCAAATATGGGAAAACAGAAAACTAATGAGTCTTCCATTTCTTTTATGCCAAGAATATAGCAAACTCTCACTATTTTTATATTTTAAGCTGTACTTAACTGATTTTACTTAATACTTATTTATGGATCAGATTATTTTCAAAAGAAAACATTCAAATAGCAAATTTTAACAGTATGCGATAGTCTCTTAAATTTGCCTCCCAGCCAAATTCAACATGGCTAATAGATTAAGTAATTGTAAAAATTTGGGGGATATATAAAACATGACCTTTGGGAAATACAATTTAGGCATATTGGAAAAATGTTCAAATAAACGTTCAGCACTCATACAATGAAAAGATGTTTCTGTAGTTTAAACTTCCAAGAATGTACTGTACCCCGAATGCATAACTTACTGCTTCAGTGTAAGCTTCACTGTTCTGTTCTTCATGAGCTTCTAGAAGTTTCTGGTAGCGTAAGTATGGAAAAATTAGTTTGGTAGGCTAAAAAATTCCACCTATGAATAGATACTTTAAATACAGAAATAGCCTTAGTATCACATCAATTGATGTTGCCAAACACCTTACAGAAGAGAGAAAATACTCAAATATAAGCCATGAATTATCCCAAATCAGGGACCTAGTTTTTGTGCTAACATTTCTGAGTTGCTTGGTTTAGAACACAATGCTTATGTCCTTGACTCTGCTGGCATCTGAAACCTATTCTACAAAAGCAGGAGAGTACCAGTGCTCCTCAAAGATTTAGAGTTTCACTTTAGACCTGATCCCACCTGACAGCAAAGGCTTTTTTTTTTTCTTCAAATTTGTGATGTTACTTACTTTCAGTAACTTACATTCCCTTGAATCAGTAAATGCTGGAAACATTTCCTCATATTTCTCAAGAGCAAGCTGAAAGAGAAAAGCCACTCATTAATGTCAAACTCACTGAATCAGGAAATAAAGCCCTTTCTATCTGAACAACTTACTACTTCAGTAAGATTTATCTGCAGCCTATTTAAATGTATAAGAAGTATGCTGTTAAACTCAACATCAAAATCAACACAGGAAACCCTATTCCATTTGAATTGCCAACTTCAGTTAAGAATAAATTTCTAAACCAGTTTTTCTGAATTAGGTTGCTGTAGAGAGGACAACATGGACCAAATCTAATTTGTAAAAACTCACAGACCAGGTGTCTGTTTCCACCCACTACATAAAAAAGCTCTTCCTTAACACTGTCCAGATTCCACATAAATCACAATCAGACCTCTGTGCTTGAGTCTGGAGGGAAGGACGCCTTTCCTCTCAGCAGTCTTACTTCTGCTCTCCCAGCCCCAGACATGACGACAGCAAGGCCGCCCAAGTCTCTGCCTCTGGTCTCCCCAGGCCACATTCTGATGTGATTTTGGAGTTTGAAACAAAGGATGTTATTCCACTTTTATTGTCTCCTCCCTATGCCCCCTAATTTTTTTTTTTAAAAGATAGATTTATTTGAGAGAGAGCATGAGTGGGAGGGGCAGAGAATCTCCAGGAGACTACCCATTGAGCAGGGAACCTGACACAGGACCCTAAGATCACAACCTGAGCTGAGACCCAGAGTCCGATGCTTAACCAACTGTGCCACCCAGGGGCCCCAGCCCCCTAATTTCTTTAAAGCAAAACTACCGAAGGGAACGCAGCTAGCACTTTGGCAGTGGTTTCAAGATTACAGCTGGGATGCACAGCATAGTATTACTGTTATTATTATTATTATTAACGCATGCAGTTTGGTCTTACTATAACCAATATCACCCAACAGAGCATATCGTGAATGACAGAGGGCCTGAGGCCTGTTCTCATGGTAAAGTGCAGCAGAAATTGGCACTGCGGGACTCTTACCTTGGCATTCAGTTCATCTACTATGAAGTGACAGAGGGCTGCTTTAAAGAAGTAGTCCTTTGCACTGTATTTCAACAAAGGATTATCCATGGTGTTTGCCCCAACCTAGGCACAGAAAGCAGATTTAGATTCAAGGGTTTGCCTTCTTGTAGTAGGCAAACTGATCCTCAACTGCCCTTTAGAAAATACTTGTGTATCTTACATCAGTTTAGCTATGAATATATTCTTTTAACCCAGTATCACACACTAGACAAGAAACAATATTTAATATATAAGTGCTAACCTGTTAAAAATGCCCCAGAAAACTTCTACTTCTACTTCCAGGAAGATGGAATAGACATTTTTCTCTATCCCTCCTGCTAAGAGCAACTGAAAGCCCCAGTCATTTTATATAAAACCAACACAAGGAGACTGAAAAGTAGAGACAAGACAGCAGACCAGCTAGGGACCTTGAGACACACAGAAAACACAGCAGGGAGTTCTCTGGGTTTTCGTTTTCTTTCACATATCCCTAACTTGGAACAGAAAAAGCCAGCAACCCATAAATGCCACGCTAGAAGCAGCAGAAAAAAAAAGAAAGAAAAGAAAAGAATACACAGAAGTTTGCTTTCTCTAGCTGAAGGACCTGGAAAAGGGCAGCCTAGCAAGAAAGAAAAGTTTAGGTAATTACTGCTCTACTCCAGCCAAACACCATAGAACACTATGGCCCCACCCCTACTCACTTCAGTAAAGGCCCTAGATAGAACTGAGATGTCAATGCTTTTGAGACGCAATTGTGGAGGAACCCCAAATCCCTGCCAAGGTGGCTTCACAAAGGCCCAGAAGGGAGCCACGCCTTTATCCCTGTCAGCTCGTAATGGCCCACCCTCCTCCATCCCTGCTGTGAGGCAATGGAGACCATGTGGGGAGCCTGGGTCTCTCCTTCACCCAGCAGGAATGAGGCATCAACCCTCATCTCCCAGCAGTTGTGGTTTCAGAAGAGGCCTAGTGGAGGATTAAGACTTCTATCACCACCCAGGAGTAATGAGAACAATCCCAATGTGGTGTTGGTAGAGGGCAAGAAAGGGTAGGAATGGCCGCCTCTGCCCAGCAGTGAAGCAACACCCCCCTTCTGCTGCCAGAGCAGGGTCACAGGAAACCAGCTGAAAGAGAAGGTTTATTTATTTATTTTAAGGAGAGAGAGAGCAAGAGCAGGATGGGCAGAAGGAGAGGGAGAGAGAATCTCAAGCAGACTCCATGCTGAGGGCAGAGCCTGACACAGGATTCGGTCTCACGACCATAAGATCATGACCTGAGCCAAAACCAAGAGTTGGATGCTTAACTGACTGCGCCCCCCCAAGCCCCCCCGAGAGAAGGTTTAAATATGATCCAGTCCAGCTGTCACTAAGAAAGGAGATCTTAAGCTGAATGAAAAATAACAACCAATAGATGACGGCTCTGAGGCGACAGAAATGTTAAGATTATCCAACAAAGATTTTTAAAGGAGCTCTCAAAAAAATGCTTCAACAAGCAATTACAAAAATGCTTAAAACTAAAGAAAAAACAGAAAGCATCAACAAAGAAAAAAGAAATTTCCAGCAAAAAAACCACCGTAAGATATAAAGAAGAAACAAATGGAAATTTCAGAACTGAAAAACACAATAACTTCACAAAAAGTGGATGGGTTCAACAGAATAGACAGGAGAGGAAAAGAATCAGTGAACTGATGACAGAACATTAGAAATTACTCAGTCTGAATAAAAGAGAGCAGAAAACAGACTGAAAAAAAAAACAAAACAAAAAAACAAATGAACAGAGCATCAGGGACCTATAGGACTATAAAATAAGGTCTAACACTCAGGTTGTCTTAAGTCCTGGGAGGGGAGGACAGAGAGAAGGGCTGAAAAAGTACTTTAAGAAATAATGGCTGAAAACTTCCTAAATTTGGCAAGAAACATAAACCTACAGATTCAAGAAGTTTAGTGAAACCCAAACAGGATAAAAGCAAAGAAACCCAAGCCAAGCCACATAAACTTCCGAAAAACTGAAGCTAAGGAAAAAACTTTAAAAGTGGCCAGAAAAAAAACAATACCTTACCTACAGGAGAAAAATAACTTGAATGAAAGTGGACTTCTCATCAGAAACCACAAAGGCCCTAAGTGGCGCATTTTTCAAGTGCTAAAAGGAAAGAGTTATCAACCCAGAACTATATGCCCTGGGAAAACATGCTTCAGGAATGAAGGGGAAATCAAAACATTCCCAGATGAAGGAACACAGAGAATTTGTCTCCAGTAAAACCTACCCTAAAAGAATGGCAAAAGGATGTTCTCTAAATGCAAAGGACACAATGAAAGAAGTAATCTTGGAACGTCAGAAGAAAGAACACAATAAGCAAAATATGAGTAAATACAATGGGCTTTTCTTCTCCTCTTGAGTTTACTAATATGTTGGAAGACTGAAATTAAAATTATATCATTGACTGAGGTGGTTCTAAAATATGCAGAGAAAACAGTTAATTTATACTGAATGGGGAGGAAAAAGGGACAGAAAGTAAGACCTCTATATTTCACTGGAAATGATAAAATGATATCATCATCAGCTTATGATAAATCATGTACATGTTACTTAGAGCAACCACTAAAAACAGGTAGTCAAAGACATTTACTTGAAAACACTACAGATAATCAAGCAACCCACTATAAGGCAGGAAAAAGAAAACAGAAAAAAAACCCCAGCATAAATAGAAAACAATAAATAAAATGGCAGACTTAAGCCCTAATATATCAATAATTATATTAAATGTAAATGGTCTAAATATACCAATTAAAAGACAGAGATTGGAAGAATAGATTAAAAAGCATGACATAACTATATGCTGTCCATAAGAAACTCACTTCCATTATAGTGATAAAGGCAGGTTCAAAGAAAAAGGATGGGAAAAGATATATCACATAAATATTAACCAAAAGGAAGCAGGTGAGGCTATATTATCAGATAAAGTAGACTTCAGAACAAAGAAAACTACCAGGGACAGAGGGGAACATTATATAATGATGAAAGTGTCAACCCACCAAAAAAACATGGCAATCCTAAACATGTATGCAGCAAACAAGAGAGCTGCAAAATATGTGAAGCAAAGACTGATTGTAATGAAAGAAGAGAGACAAATCCACAATCACAGTCAGAGACTCCCAACACTCCACTCTCAACAATGGATAGAGATAGAAAATCAGCAAGTACACAGAACTCAACAACGCCATCAACTGAGAAGATCTAATCAATACTACAGAACATGTTACCAAGCAACAGCAGTCTCACAGAACAAATGCCAAGTCAGACCATATTCTGGGCCAAAAAACAACTTCAACAAATTTATAAGACTTGAAATCACAGAGTGAATTCTCCAGCCACAATGGAATCAAACCAGAAATCAACAGAAAGATAAAGAGGGAAACCTCCAAACACTTGGTAATTAAGCAAAACACGTCTAAAAAATCCACAGAAATCAATACATACAATGAAATAAATAAAACAATATACCAGAATTGTGAGACATAGTGAAAGCAGTGTTTAGAGGGGAACTTATAGCACTAAACATGCATACACAACAAAGAGGAAAACCAGTTCCTATCTCAATGCCCTAAAAAAAGTGTAAAATAAATCTAAAGAAAATAGAAGGATGAAATAATAATATTAGAAATCAATGACACTGAAAACAGAAATACAGAGAAAATCATTGAATTCTACCAAATGTTTAAAGAACGAACATCAATCATTCACAAATTTTTCCAAAGAAGAGAATACTTTCCAACTCATTCCATGAGGCTACTATTACCTTGCTACCAAAACCAGACAAAAATCTCACAAGAAAATTAAAGATCAATATCCTTATGAATATAGATTGAAAATCCTCCACAAAACACTAGCAAACTAACTGTGACAACTTATTAAAAGGATTACACATTATGACTATACAGTACAGGATTAATTTTCTCCTAAGTGAGGTCTTGCCTTTGTCTGTGGCTCCTGGGGGGTCATCTCTAAGCCCTTGCTTGGAACGGCCTGCTTGAAAGACTGTTTTTGTTTACCTGGGTGTCTCTGACAACTGGTTCAGCTCAACCATTGGAGGGACTGGAGAATCTGTGACTGAGCCACAATAAAAATTCTAGACACCCACTACAGGTGAACTTCTTCCCCTGTTGGCAATACTCCATGGATATTTTCATCACACATCATCATTGGGAGAAGTAAGTGCTACCTGTACAACTCCACTGGGGAAGGGCAAAACAAGTTCTACACTTGCAACTCTCCTGGACCCTGCCCTAAGCACACCTCTTCCTTTTGCTGATTTTAATCTGTATCCTTTGGTATAATAAACCATAACTGTGGCGTAACAGCTTTCACTGAGTCCTGTGAGTGCTTCTAGAGAATGATCAAACCTGAAGGTACTCTTGAAGAGCCCCAAACTTTGCAATAATCAAGAAGGATTTATCCCAGGAATATAAGGTTGGTTCTAAATATGAAAATCCATCAATGAAATACAGCATATTAATAAAGAACAAAAACCATACGATCATCTCAACAGATGCAGAAAAAAACACTTGACAAAACCCAATATGCCTCGAGGATAAAAACACTCAACAAAGGAAGAGAAGGGTACTTCCTCAAACTGATAAAGCATATCCACAGAAGCCCCACAGCTAACATCCTATTTAATGATGAAAGACTGAAAGCTTTCTGTCTAAGATGGGAATAAGACAAGGATGTGTGCTCTTGCTACTTCTAGTTACCATTGTTCTAGAAGGTCTAGTCAGGGCAAATAACAAGAAAATGAAGTAAAAGGCATCCAAATTGGAGAACAAGTATAGCTATCTGCAGATGACATGATTACATGATTTTGTACAAACAGAATCCCAAGGAATCAAAAAAACCAAAAATCAAACAAACAAAAATACCCAAACCCATTAGCGCTAATAAACTAGTTCAGCAGGGTTGCAGTGTATAAAACTAGCAATTAACAATCTAAAAAGGAAACTGAGAAAACAATTACATTTACAATAGCATCAAAAAGAATAAAATACTTAGGAGTATATTTAACCAAAGAAGTGCAAGGCTTACACACTAAAAACTTTAAGATATTACTGAACAAAATTAGAGAAAATCTAAATAAATGCAAAGGCAACTTGAGCTCATAGTTTGGAAGACTTAACAATGTTAAGACGTCAATACTTTCCAAATTGGTCTACAGATTCAATGTAATCTCTATCAAATTCCAGCTGACTTCTTAGCACAGACTGACAAACTGATCCTAAAATTTGTATGGAGATGACAGAGTCCCAGAATAGCCAATCTTAGGGAAAAAAAGGATCAAAGTTGGAGGACTCACAGTTCGTGATTTCAAAACAAAGCTACATAATCAAAACAATGTGATACTGGCATACAGACAGACATGTTAATACCAACAGGACAGAACAGATGGTCAAACAGAGTATCAGTCAAATAATTTCCAATAAGGGGGCCCAGACCATTTAATGGCAGAAGGACAGTGTAGTCAACAAAAAGTGCTGGGAAAACTGCATATCCACAAGCAAAAGAATGAAGTTGGGTCCTTACCTAACACTATATACAAAAATTAACTCAAAATGAATCAAAGACCTAAACCTAAGAGCTCTAACTATAAAACTCTTAGGATTTCGTCCAAGTTAAAAACTACACGTCAAAGGACATCAACAACAGAGTAAAAAAGCAACCCACAGAATAGGAGAAAATATGTGCACATCATATATCCGGTAATATCTAAAATATAAATATAAATGAAATATGAATATCTAAAATAAGAATTTCTAAATTCTTAAGAAATAAGAATTCCTAAAATGTAATCCTAAAAAGCAAACAACCCACTTCAAAAATGGGCGAAGAAATCAAACCATTTCTCCAGTGAAGATATAAAATGGCTAACAAGCAATCGAAAAGGGTCAACATCACCAACCATGAGGATAATGGAAATCAAAACCACAACGAATCACTTCATACTCATTAGGGTAACTATTACCAAAAAAACCCAGAAAGTACTGGTGAGGCTGTGGAGCAACTGGAATCCTGGCACATTGCTGGTGGGAATGTAAAATGGTGCAGGTGCTGTGGAAGAGTCTGGCGGTTCCTCAAAAAGTTAAAAAAAGACCTGCCACATAAACCAGCAATCCCAATCCTAGGTATATAACCAAGACAACAGCAAGCCTCCCCTCACAAAAACATGAACACAAGTGTTCAGAGCAGCATTATTCATAATAGTTCAAAAGTGAAGAAAACTCAAATGATAAACATTCACTGATAAACAGGTAAACAAACTGTGGAATATTACTCAGCTATGAAAAGAAAGGAAGTATCATTACATGCTAAAATAAAGAACTTTGAGAAAACTATGCTATGTGAAAGAAGTCAGTCACAAAAGGCCACTTATCCTAGAAGGCCTAGAATAAACAAATCCATTGAGACAGAAACTAGACACTGGTTTCCAGAGACTGGGAGGAGGGGAGAATGGGGTGTCTCCCCAGTGGTGGATAACGAAAATGCCTTGGAATTAGGTGCTGGTGATGGTTACACAATTCTGTGAATATACTAAAACCCACTGACTTGTATTCTTTACCAGGATGAATTATATGATGTGTGAATTATATCTCAGTTAAAAGCAAAATTAAATAAAATGTATAATTAAAAAAGAACAAGATTCAGTGACTTCTGCCGGAAGTTGGTGAGACCGTAGCAGCCTCACCTGCTCGTAGATCTCGATGGCTTTCTGGTACTGCTCCAGCTGGGCGGCATACGCTGCCACTTTCAGCAGACACTTGTTAGCTGAACTGAAATCAAGAACCAGAGCAGAGCGAATAATAATCCAACAAAAAAATTAAAAGGTATCCCAGTACACCTCCATTTGGTACAGCCCGATATGCTCACAGAGTGCAGTAAAGGTTTGTCTTTTATCGCACATAACAAAACCCATTTAATTATATTAAGGAAAACAGCACTTGCCTGTTGGATTCTTCCCCTTTGTAATAATCAGCCGATTGTTCGTAATGTGCAATAGCCTGAAAAACACACATGTATTTTATTCAAACTACTTCTCTGAAGAGCTATATTTAAAAATTACATTTGCATAGGTATTATTCCTACAGATAAGCCTATTTCAACAGCACACCTTTCACAACTTGGCCTCCTTTATTTGGGGAAGACACGAAAGCATGCACATCCAGAAGCCCGGTGATATAATACTCACCATCCATCAAAATCTCTTCTTCCCTTCCCCCGAAGCAAACGCCCAGCTACACCATTTCCCCAGCCCCCAATGCAATTCCAGGCAGCTGTGACCTGCTGTTTCCAATAGAATGTATAGAGGCATGCTGTGGGCCTCTACCAGGCTTGGCCGGTCCAACTAACTGTATGTCTTTCTCCAGGCCTCTTCCCTTCCCAGGAGCTAGAACGGCAATGACCAAGTCTGGAGTGATAGTGGAAGCCACAAACCGAGGATGGCAGAACTACTGTCTGCCTGGTTCCTAAATAGCTACAAAGGGCAGAATGTACTTCATCCACCATGTACTGCTGCCAAACCCAGAACGGCTACACTGGATGGTTATTTTAAAGGCATATGAAGCCCTATTGCATTTTAGATCTATAGCTTGCTAGAGTAGCACAGACTTTCTTCATTAATACCTTAAGTGTCATCTAGAATAAGGGTGTTGCCTTCATTCTAAAATGTGTGGTGCTGAATTAACAGTCAAGTGGAGAGGAAACAAGCTGCCGGATGGAAAGCTAGAAGGCTTTGTCACATTGTGGCATAAGATATAGTAAAATCAAGCATACGACAACTCAGAAGGCAGAAGACATCCCTAAATGGAGCCAGAAACTCTAAGGGAAGAAACTCTATGGAAAGAGACAGATGATAGTGTGTAATGCTGTTTTCAGCAGTTTTGTAAGAGAGAAGAACTCTGGACAGAATTAGCTTGTTTGTAGGCAATTATAAAAGGGATAGGTAAAGTCCAGTGATAGGGCCTTGTAAGACTGGAAAGGCCAGTGGCCTCTATTCCCCAAAGAGCAAAACATAAGCCTGAACAACATTTTAAACTAGGGGTCTGAAGAACCTTTCTGTAATAGACCAGATTATAAATACTTTAGGCTTTGTGAGCCGTATGATCTGTTGCCACAACTTGGCTCTCCTGCAGTGCCACAAAAGTGGTGTGTCCATGTTCGAAAAACTGTATTTATGGACAATGACATTTCAACTTCACTTGATTTTTATGTGTCATGAACTGCTTTTTTCCCTAACAGTGATTAAAATATGTAAAACCTATTCTTAACTTCTGGGTGTACATAAACAGGTAGTAGGTCTATAGACCTCTGCCTTAAATTTCAGGGTTTTCCCAGTTAAGTCCTAAAGAGGAAGCTGGCATTATGCAAACATCAGACTACAGGTGCTCCCTTCCCACTAAGCCCATAGCTTCAAGGAAGTCCCACCAAATGACTTAAGAGAGAGGCACAAAGACAAAACAACAAACAAAACAGGCTAGGGAACTACGTTAAAGCTTTGGCTATGGTTCCTGAGAGATGACCGGAAATGGACAGACCTGGCCGTAAAGCCTCAGCCCCCGCTTTCTGCACATACTAGTGCAATGACCAAGACCAACAATGATTTGGTTTACAAAATTTGTTTACCTTTGACGCCTCAGGCTGAAGGGGCCACAGCCAACATTAGTCAAGTCTGGACTGCAGAGCACCACTGACAGTGTGTGAAAAACTGACATTTCTGGGTGTATTTTTTTTTTTTAAAGATTTTATTTATTTATTTGATAGAGCACAAGTAGGAAGAGCAGCAGACAGAGGGGCAGGCAGAAGGAGAGAAGCAGGGTCCCCGATGAGCAGAGAAGCTCGATCCCAGGAACCTAGCCCTGACATTTCTGGGTTTAAATAATTATGTTTTGGGTCTTTTTGATCAGCCTATCCTAACTAATATGCTCCCCAAACAAATTTTCTGAGTACTATTTATAACAGGGGCAAAACTGGAAACAAGGTAAGTGGTTAAATATAATAGACTAAGATTAAGAATAATGACAGGGCGCCTGCCTGGGTGGCTCAGTTGGTTAAGGGTCCAACTCTTTTTTTTAAAGATTTATTTATTTATTTAATTATTTATTTACCAATTTATTTGACAGAGAGAGAGAGAGACAGCGAGAGAGGGAACACAAGCAGGGGTAGTGGGAGAGGGAGAAAGAGGCTTCCCGCCGAGCAGGGAGCCCAATGTGGGGCTTGATCCCAGGACCCTGGGATCATGACCTGAGCCAAAGGCAGACGCTTAACAACTGAGCCACCCAGGCACCCCAAGGGTCGAACTCTTGATATCAGCTCAGGTCTTGATCTCATGGTTGTGAGTTCAAGACCTGTGTTGGGCTCCACACTGGCTGTGGAGGCTCCTTAAAAAAAAAAAGATAATGACAGAGTATCAGTATGGAAATTTCTTCATGAAATATTAAATTAACAAACAGCCATGAAAGAACAGATACACTGTGGACCTCTTTTTACAAATACATAAACACATACAGAAAACATCTGGCATAGATTCCTTTGGAGCATTTGTCAGAGCTGTCACATACACATATCTGTGGGATAATCTGATCAATGTATGTATTCTCCCATTAAAATGCGAGGACAGGTTTCATGAGAGTTTTGCTCAACATTATGTCCCTGAGCCTAGCATAGTGTCTATCATATGGTAGGTGCTCAATAAATAGATGCTAAGTGAATGAAGGCAAGCTGCATTTCAAATGATGGACCCCTATTAAATTATTGCCAATATCTTAATCTGGAATGCCCACAAAAGAAAAGTTTTTCAGTGAATTCCTAATTAATAATATCAGTGAATTCCTGACTAATAATATTTTTTGAACTGTCCCCATGCTCTCAAGTATTTAGCACTCTTTTCCACTGTAACAAATGGGGTAAAGTATGAGAAACATGACCAAATCTTCAGTAAAGAGTATCAGATTACACAACCTCCTGGGGGTGGGGTGGGGAGTGTCACTACTTATCTTGCTAGTTCTCAACACCAGAACTCAATGAACAGTGTTGGGTTGAACTGTATGTAACTGCGGTTTTGGGGGTAAAAATAAATGGCCAAATGTGGACAACTGTGGGTAATTTGGTTTAACCTAGTTCTTAATAATGATATTGATTCATCGAAATGTTGTAACTGTAAACTATGGCTAGATTTATCATAGTAAAAAAGAAAACTAAAGCTTGGTTTTTAATAATGCTAATTAAACCAATAATCAATTTTTTTTAAAATATTGTATTTATTTATTTATTTGAGAGAAAGAATGAGCTAGAGCATGAGAGGGGGGAGGGTCAGAGGGAGAAGCAGACTCCCCGCTGAGCAGGGAGCCCGATGCGGGACTCGATCCCGGGACTCCAAGATCATGACCTGAGCCGAAGGCAGTCACTTAACCTACTGAGCCACCCAGGCACCCCCAATAATCAAATTTTATGATAGTCCCAAGTTTTGACTGAGGCTATAGTTGAAAGGAAAGCTTATCTAGTGGCTTAACAGAGACGTTTCGGAGAAAAGAGGTTGTCACAGGTCATCTTTGGATGTTCATACCTGTTTAGAATTTTAACATGTAGTGAAATTTACCAGGCACAAGTAGACCCTTCCACATTAGAAATCTGTTTCTTACTTACAATTTCAAAGATCATGATAAATATCAAAAGTAGAACACAGCCACCAATAACAACAGCACACACAACAAAACACGATACTAGCTCGTTATCCTGTTATTTAAGTAGCCCACCAAGGAATTGCAATAATATTCCTTCCTGGGGAATCTGGTAAATATCACCATGCTGGAAAATACATGAATCCTGAAATGAGAGACAAGACCCTCTAGGACTGCAGTCCTCATCAGTGTTTCAAAGCAAATGCAATTTCCAAGTGTCAAGAAGAGTCTACTTCGTAGGTGAACTTAAACAGCCTTCAGATGGGATCAATTCTTTTAGAACATATACCCCCAGATAGGATCTAACATGAACTTGCCACAGACACACCTACACGGTAACAAACAGTAGTAAATCATGTTCTTGAGGGGCTGAAACAGAAATGGATCACAGTTCCTCTGGGTCATTTAAAAGGCGTTCCTATGGGCATCTGCGTGGCTCAGCTGTTTAAGCGTCTGGCTCGTGATTTTGGCTCAGGTCATGATCTCATGAGTCATGGGATAGGACTGAGCCCCAAGTCAGGCTCCACGCTCAGTGGGGAGTCTGCTTAAAGATTCTGTCCCTCTCCCTATGCCCTGCCCCCTTCACGCACACATGCTCTCTTTAAAATGAATAAATCTTAAAAAAAAGTAAAAGCCCATTTAAAGAGGACCCATTTATTATTTTGTTTTATTTCATAAAATCAAAGAAATAATATTAGTCTTTGAAATTTCACACACTTTGTTCACTAGCTAAAATCTGTGAATGAATCAGAGAACATATAGCAGCTTATATTAACAGGGAAAAAAATTCATTTGTAGTAAATGAAATGTAAGTTACCTTACGTTATATATATGTGTATATATAATGACGTATATATATACTGATAACATAACTGATTTTTCAAACTTAAACTTCAAGTACCACGGACTACATCTGGTGAGTCCCACCAGGAAAGCGAAGGCAGTGATGTTTCTAAACACAGGAGCCCTTGGGGCAGCTGGGTGGCTCAGTCGGTTAAGCATCTGCCTTGGGTTTGGGTCATGATCCTGGGCTCTCTGCTCAGCGGGGAGCCTGCTTCTCCCTCTCCCTCTGCCTGCTGTTTCCCCTGCTTATGCTTGCTTGCGCTCTCTCTCTGTCAAATAAATAAATAAAATCTATTTGTATGGAACCAGAAGAGACCCCGAATAGCCAGAGGAATGTTGAAAAAGAAAAGCAAAGCTGGCGGCATCACAATTCCGGACTTCCAGCTCTATTACAAAGCTGTCATCATCAAGACAGTATGGTACTGGCACAAAAACAGACACATAGATCAATGGAACAGAATAGAGAGCCCAGAAATGGACTCTTAAATTGCTTTTAAAAGGGCACATCACATCAGTGAAGGGAGATGCCACCTGCTGGCCAACTCATAGAATGGCAGGAAAACCATGAGTTAACGGGCTTCAGAAGCTGCCATGACAAACCATACTTTTGTTTTAGAAGAAGGAAAACAAGAGTATGCTATAGATCATTTTACCCCCTCTGAATTTATGGAGAGCCACGTGTGAAGTGGTTACCCCAGAACATGCCCTGGCAGCAGCGGCAGCACAGTGCTGTGGGCTCCCGCCTCAGAGTGCTTTCCTGACCACGCCAGGCAAGGAGCTGACGCCGCAAACTCTGCTAGAAAGACACTCTGCATGAGTGCTGTCCCCCCAGGATGATTCAACCTCAATAAAGATATTGTGCCACTCCAAGACACCCTGACCAAATAAATATCCCAGCCACACCAGACCCAACTCCTTTCTGTTCCATCATCAATTCTGCACCAGGGAGCAAAAAAGGGTTCAGGTTTGGGTCTCCTCATCCTCTCCAGAGTCTACAGATAGCTTCTTCAACAAGAAGGGGCATATGCAATGCACTCGGTGGCTCTGATTTAGTCACAAGCAAAGTATCCTTAGAAAACCATGGCATATTATGACAAAAATGGCCAAATCATGAATTCTATGTAATAAGTCAGTGAATTTTGTGCGGCAATAGCCACAAGGTGGTGGTCAGCATGAAGTTAGAGGGCAAAGGTTAACGATGCCAATCCAACTTTAGCAGTAAGAGATACCTCCCCAAACCAAGATTCTCTGTGTTTTGGTAAGTACGCTGCTATGACAGAGATGGGTGCATCGTTTGCCTATTTCTTAGAAACTACTATGTCCCAGAGTTCTGGGCTCTTGGGATACATCAGTAAACCAGAGGTAAAGCTCTGTGCTGATATGGGCACCCATAAGTGTAGGGAATGATGATGATGAGCAAGCATTTGTAGCACATGATGTAAAGTGACAAGTGTGCTGCAAAAAAAGAAAAAGCTGAGGTGGGGGAGGTGTCTGGGTATGTATTCGTGACAGGGTGGGGTTCCAATTTTAACTAGGTGGTCATGATAAGTCTCATGGAAAAGGTAACAAATGAGCAAAAATTTGAAGGACAAGGGGGAGTTAGCCATGCAGGCATCTGTGGAAAAACCCCACAGAGCAAACAGCAGTGCTAAGTCCTGAGACAGGAGCTCATCCAGCATGTGTGAAGATCATCAAGGAGGTCATGGTGGCCACAGCACGGGGTAGCATGAGGGAGGAGGGTGAGGAAGAGCCAGAGGAGAGTTCAGAGAGGCAAAGGGCTGAAGGGGCTGATCAGAGGGGCCTCGGAGACCATCTGCAAGGCTCTGGCTATTCCTCTGAGTGAAGAGGAGGCAACAGCAGGTTGTCAGCAGTAGAGACACAATTTGATCTACTTTTGACAAGGATTGCCCTGGCTGCTGTGTTACATGGGGGAGGGGGTCACTACCACTGACAGTATCAAAAACCAGTGTAATATACATGAATTTATCATTTTGTATCAGGAGGAAATTCTTACGTTGGCAATAGTATCCATCTTGCTAACTTGGCTACCCTCTTGAGGGTCCCCTGGGATTTTGGTCAACATGCTATTTCTCAGTATAAAGCCCCCTTTCTCTTAAGAAAACGCACAGAAGCAGAAAAGAAGAGAGTGAATCCAAAAGGAAGGAGTGATGGGGACCCTGTGCCCAGGGTTTAGAACTCCAGCAGGAATAGGAGCAGGGAGGCCAATTTGGGGGCTCCTTGCAGAGATCCAGAGAAAGCTGACAACAAGGTAGTGAGAGGTGCCCAGACCTGGGAGCATGGAGGACAGCACCAAAGAAATCGCCCACAGGCTGGATGTAGAGAAAGAGAGGAGGCAGGGACACCTGTGGTTCAGAAGGGAACATCACGGCAGGGTATCAGAATTCTGACTCAGACACACTGGGTTGGAGGTGACGGTTGGCAGACAGGAGGATAGAGGAATCTGAGGTGTGGAGAGAGGTGTGGGCTGCAGATAGACTTGCGAGCCACTGGCATACAGATGATCTGTAAAGCCGTGATGCTGAGTGCAGAGAGAGTACCAAGGGAGCAATGTGGAGTGAGAGAAAACACGGAGTCAACCCCAGGGTGCCCCGCACTAGAGGGTGGGGAGAAGAGGAGGCACCATTAGGCGCCTGTGACAGATGCCGAAAGAAGGCATGAGACAAAAGAGAGGAAGAGGGACCCCTGTCTGATGCCAAAGTGGGCTCAGGGAGTGTTCTGACCATTCAGATAGGACACAACTATACTCCTAAGAGCATGCTTGGTGCCCATCAGCCTGGCAGGAACAACCAATGGCCTCCACTACCGTTTCTCCTTCTCACTCACACCTCCTGTCTTCCACAGTACTCAGGGCAGTGTTACACAAACATCTGTCTCCAGAGCTGAGGCAGCCTCTGGAGTCTGACAAATGTCTTCCTCTTGCCGAGGTGCCCTGAGCCCTGCCAGCAATCTCCTGACTGAGAAGACAGTGTGAAACAGGAGGAAGCTCCGCACTGGGGCCAGCTTTGCCTCAGCTCTGCTTGTTCCAACCTGAGTGGTCCCAGGCAGTGCAGTCCTTCCAAGCCCTAACTTCCACACCCATAAAGGGGCCTCTGTGTTGTAAAGCTGAAAGCAGTTAAATTCACAGCATGCCAGCAAGAACAGAGCCTGGGAAACAGTGGTGCTCAGTGAGCATTTTCTCCTGCCTCTCTTCTTTTGCTACTATAAACCACAGCTCAGAAAACCAGACCTGCGTGAAACAGGTGTGGCCAAGCTGGCATTCAGCTCTCTTCCTCCTCCAGGTCAGGGCCTGAATATAAAGGTGTGCATGTGCCTGCAGTCCTGAAGCTCCCTTCACGAGGACACAGAGGCCTTGGTGACCAAGAGGAAGACTTCTGCTAACACCACCATCCTGACATGAATCACCCAGAGCAGAGATAACAGGCAGGCCTGGTAAACCTTACCCAGCTCTCAGGTGCCAGGTGCTCACCCCAGGAGAAGTCCATCCATTCCTCAACCTGTCAGGCCCCCCACCCTCCACGTGAAGCCATCTCAATGGCTCTGCACACTCAACTCTACTGGAAGGGAGAGGGCTCCCCGAGTCATGTCATCTACCTGCCTCGTACCCAGCTTATGGAGGAACCGTGTCCTGGCTTACCTTCTCGATGTCTACCAGTTCGGTCTCATAGATCTCCGCAATGGTGATGTGGTGCTTGGCTGCGATCGTAAACCTCCCCTGGGGGAAAAAACAAAAAAACAGAGTTACGTTCTGCTTTTACCTTTTTGAATGCCAATCCCTTTAGGAAACAAAAAACAACAGCAAAAGTACAACTGTAAGCCATCTCCAGGATTCCACCCCACAGCCGCTCAAGCAAGGCAGTGTCTTACCATGTCTGTGTAAATGTCGATGGCTGCATTTAAGCAGTTGATAGCCTCTGAAGCGAAGGCATTTAAGAAAAACAATGAAAAATCCATTCAGTCAAAGAGGGTTCCGGGGAGCCTATCTTCCTGGCTGTTACTAGAACGTTAAAGAGGTTGAATTTGGGGTGGACGATGTGCAGCCGAGTTAGTAAAAAGCAAGCAGAAATCACACACAAGGCCAGACACCTCGGTATGCTCGGTCCCCAGCAGGGGTAGTGCAATTTAGAGAACTGGAGCTGGCGTGGGACTGGCTCAGTACTCTCAACCTGACAGTGAAGACCCCATCCAGGGCCAAGACTGCATTAAAAAGCAGACAAACCATGAGGGCTGTCATCAACACTGATCAGCTCTAGCTGCTAAAACATAAATGTAAATGCATTCTTCACTGATATCATGTATATATATGAATTCTGGAAGACAGTCCTTCATAAGGAAGATCATTTCAATAGATTTGATTCTTCATGCAGCCAAAATCAAAAGCACTTTGAAATACCTGTTCAAACAACTCTTAAGCAAAGTCAACATTTCATACAATGTTAAAAGATGCTAACTTTTGGTGTATCAGTATATGCCAAAAGGAAGAAAAAAAATCTAGTAAGTGATACTAATAAATTCTATTAATTTTCTGAAACACTGAGCCAACAAATTTCCTGTCACAAAATGGTGGTCCTTATAATGTTGACATATGGGCAACAGCTCCAAATTTATTGCTTTTGCTTTAAAGGAGGTAGCAAAGAGAAAAGGCCTGACTGAAGAATTAGAAAGGTACAGAGATTAACAAAATTAAAAGCAACTTTCTCCCAAGCTATATTAAGAAATGTGGTTTGTTACACCTTTAAAAATACAGAAAAATAAGCTACCCAGAATGCCACTCAAACCCACTGCTAGTATTTTGATGCACTTTTCCTTCCAGTGTTTTCTGGATGCATTTCTATGTGCACATATTTCTTTATAAATTTGAGATCTCAATTATCATGTGGTTCTTTGGTTACCATGTGGACAATGACCAGTCATTGAAGAAGCTCTGAATCCAGGGACTTTAATGCCTGCATCATATTCTAGAATACTGATGCATTTTAATTTTACCATTCTATCCTTGCTGTTCATTTAGGCCGTGTCCAGTTTTTCACGTTCGGAAATAGAGTGTGACAATCTTTATACAAAAGCCCTTGAAGCATTTTCATTCTCAATGATATATTCATAATAAAAGTTGGGATTTTTGCTAAAAGAGAAAAATGGGAGACTCCATAGCCTCCAGCGCATGTGCTACAGGAATAAGTTAGTACTTTTAATCAATAAATGTATACTCTTAACTAAAAAAAAAATATTTGCAAAATTTTGCCACTTTAAATACCCAAGTTCATTCTTTCTTCAAAACCAGTACTTTGAAAAACACTCTTTAAAAAGTCAGATGAATACTGTGTGAATAAGTTGTTTTTAACTATCAGATATTATAATCTCCCATTAACTGGATCTTAAAATGCACCACGTATTTAGGAGTGAGGAACCATTCCTTCTCTTTAACGAGTAATAATATATTCATAAAATTAAATGGCATTTAAGAAAACAGTGCTGTCAACTAAACAGCTAGGACAAATTGAACACAATTTCTCCTCATAAAAGCTCAAAATGATCACAGAAAAATCCCTAAAATTACTAAAATGTCTATTTTCCCAAAGCACCAAAATTTATTTTACCAGGACTCCAAGGTCCAGCAACACACCCTGTGAGAAAGGTCCCTGACATCGACCCTACGGTTCTAGTTGCGCAGAGATGCAGGCACGTCTTACCTTGAGGGTCTGCCTTCTTGTAAGCATTGCCAGCATCCACAAAGCTGGTGGCAGAATCATGCTTGCTCTGAAGCTGCATATGGAGCTTGGCTGCCTGACAAAATGCATTTCCTGCAGCTGAAGAAGACAAGTCACTACAATTAATCACAGAGCAGCCGGTGTCCCCAGGGTGGTCCGTGCTCTAAGTGCTGGACCTACCCCTAGAAAAGTTCCTTGTCACTGAAAAGAAGCATTCCAGTCAGAAGCATATGTAAATGTGGACAAGTGCACTTCAGGTATGTGTAAAGAAATCAGAACCAAGTTCAACGGTGACAAAAGTGTCTCTCAGCCCCAGGAAACCTCCCAAGTGGCACCTGGGCAACAGGCCTCCATTTAGTACCAGAGCCAGTCACGTTCAACTCTGTCCCCCAGCATATATTAAATACTGACTTGTGGCTTTAGGCCACAAGTATTTAAAGAAAGGTAAAACACTGAGGTCAAGGATACTTATTTACTCATCTTTCTATCTCACAGAGTCCACTGGACTTGGCTGTCATTGTTGAAGAAAGCATTAATGGAAGCTTCTTCGACAAAGTAAGTATCTCAAAGTGTGAAAATCAAGGCCCACAATTTCAAAACTCCAAGTTTCTTAAGTTATAACAAAATCGGACTGAACTTCATATGAGGTTTAACATGTCTTTATCTCCCACTTAGTGTGAAAACTTGCACATTCCCTGTGGGATGATGGATGGGTTTGGTTACAGGGTGCTGTCCAGGTTTCTGTTGGAACAAGGCACAATGTGAAAGTTTTATGCACTTAATTTTTTCAGAAAAGGTTTCGATCAGGGACTGTAGATTCTGGAGCGGCAGAAAAGAATGAGGGAAGGAATCCCTAGCACAGAAGTCTCACGAACAAGGAACAAATGCTTGAAGACAAGAAAAGGCTAGGAACAGAGGCCAGTGACAAGTCCATGCTGCCTGCAGGAGGGATGAACACAGTGGGCAGGGGAAGTGAAGGCTGAAGGTGCCATGAGGCCAGTTCTAGGGGGTTTAAATGCCAGCACGAGGAACCTGGACAAGGATGAGCCCACCCACTGTCTTGAAGTTCTTGTCTCAGAGAGAACCACCATAGACTGGGAAGCACGAGGCCTGTGGAGTCATAGCTCAGTAAGGTCTGGAATAGGGAAGTCAGCACTAACAGGAATGGTTGGGAAAGAGATCCCTCCACTAGGAAAAACATGATGAAGAATATCATAAGAACTTGTGGTACTTAAAAAAAAATGTTTTTAGTCATTTCAAAAACATTCAGAAAAGTACAGAAAATCGTGACAGACACCAAAAAACCCACTGCTGGTATTAAGAAATAAACCATTCAATTCCACATAGCTTTGGCTATCATCCCTTATTCTGACCCCTCTTCCAGAGGTAACCACACAATTCCTACTCAGGCTTCTGGACTTCCACTAAGGGAAAAGAAGCAGTACAGACTCCTGATCCAGCTTGCCCAGGCTCAACTCTGGCTCTGTGCCAGACAAAAAGAGTGCCCAGGCAGTGTTGAAAATACTCAGCCATCAGTGTGGCACAGGCACTGAGCAATCAGAGAGGAAGTGGCCCCCAGCTGGAGCTGGGACTGGAGAACCCCTGCCCACCAGGCTTTACCCCTTAAACTGGTGACTCATGGGGCTGGCAGTCCCAGAGGAGGGGCCAAGCCTGCCGCCAGGGGAGTAGGCAGGCACATGGGTACCTGTGGCAGCAGCTAACTGAATGGCAGCTCTGATGGGCTCCACCTAAGGAGAGTACAGTAATAGCTTGGACCTCCCAAGTAAAGTGCTTCCAACAGACTGGCTCCTGTTATGCATGCATCGGCCAATCTCATTAGTACACGTGAATCTATCCTTAGACCATACCTTTATAAAACACAAAAGATAAAAAACGCTGAGACAATGCTCTTTTTCTCCTCTATTGTTTTCAGTATGTTATAATTCAGGTATAAGTACATTTTGAAAACATAACACATCGTTTTAACCTAAAACTAAACCTATAAATGAATTTTAGTCAGAAAGGAACTTTCAGATTCATGTATTTCTACAGCAATTTCTTCATAGAAATGCTTTTAAAGTGTCAGCCTTAATGGGTAAATCAACACAGTATACACCCTAAGCTTATACAATGTTATAGTCCATTTTATCTCAATAAAACTGGGGGAAAAAAGCAGCTGGGGAAATGATTTGTAGAGGGCAAAGGCCCTACTTTAGATCACGCAGCAGGTGCAAGCCAGGGCTAGAGACCCAGTCCCTGCTCCAGCTGAAGGCAGTCTCCATTTTCACGACAGAGAGACCCTATCACAGAGACATAACAAGCCCCTTTTTACATGGTAGGGGATGAATTTGTTTCTCAAATCGGTGTTAGAAACAGTCATCCTCTCTCAGACCAGTAAATAATTCAATTGTTTTGGAAGTGATTTTGTTATGTGTAATTTCACTGGATAGAAAGCATTATGTTAAAAAGTGACAATAAAAACGTTGAGGTTTATAGAAATAACACCCTCACTGGGTGTTCCATTTCTCAATGGAACCTCAATCAGCTATCACAGAGCTGTTCCCATGGTAAGAAATTCTCACCCAATGTTTAGGTAAAGAAAAATAGGCTTTGTTCACTTAGATCAAGGTTCTTTTCTCCCAGACCACAGTGGCCACACCAGTTACTCCAGCACGCACACCTGTCTCAGCCAACAGGAGGAAATGCAGTTATTTCTTCCTTCAAGATGATTTTAAAGTTATTTGCCTGAAAAGCAAACAAACAAAAACTTTATACATACCACTCCAATTTTTAGCCATCTTGAACATATTTGCGGCTCTGGTATACATTTCACAAGCCTCTTCTATTTTTGTGTTTCCTCTGAGAAAAATTTAAAAACGAGGTTAAGTTTTACTACAGCAACCATGCACATCTCTAATTCTCCCTCCCTCAAATAATAAGCATTTAATGAGCACTTACTATGTGCCAGACAAGTACAGAATCTTAACAGCTGCTCACTCAAAGCGTATACTCTTATTAACCCTATTTTCCAAATGAGGAAACTGAGGCATACAAAAGTAAAGTAACTAGCCCAAGGTCACAAAGCAAGAATGCCACAGAACTGAGACTCAAATACAGATCTGGTTGATCTCAGAGCCACGCCCTTAACCAATTTCCATGCATGGAAATTGAAGTTTTAGGTCAATTGGAGAAATAAGAAGTACATTATTCAAATGAGATTAACTTTTGAAGGTTAAAAACACTTTTACCCTGTTAATTTTTAAGAGTTTAGCACTATGTTTATTTAGACTTTAAAAACAAAAAAACAAAAACCTGAAGCCAGAGCATAAAAGAAATGCCATGTTTTTTGACTGCTGTATTATCACCTCCGGCAGGAGACAAGCTCTTCTCCAAGAAGGGGAGGGGGAAGGCCTCAGAGTCCAGCCCATCACCCTGTGTGGAAATGCATTTATGACATCCTGAGAGAAGGAAACTCTACTGCTGCTTGCATACATACTGTTCTGGAAAGTTCTCCACTAGACAGCTGATTCCACTGAGGGACAGCTTTAGCTGTCAGACATTTCTTCTTACACAAAGGCAAAAATAATCCTCTGTAACCAGCACCAGAGTTTTCCAATTTGACCTGGTTCTTCCTAAAAGCTAAACTAAGACCCCTCTATAAATGATATTTCTCTACCTCTTCTATCTACACTATAAACATAAATAACCAGAAAATGAAGACAATTGTACTGGGTGCAGTGCACATGAGGAATTCAGAGTGGTTTAAGGACATAAGGACTAAGAGAAAGGGGAGATCAAGGCTCACTCTTCAAGAGTGGGCACAATATGAACAAGAGTGAGCACATACACATATGCCAGAAACTCAGAGGCTCCGAACTCTGGCAGAGGGGCATGGACAGCTCTGTGTCAATACGTGTCCCACTGCAGTACACTGAGGCTCACATGTGACTTGCACCTAGGCAGTAACTACTGTCTTACCCCAGGCTAGTTCTTTAACTTCTCTGGGCCTCAGTTTTTGCATGTGTAAACAGCGGATAATAGGATCTATACTTGTTGGTCATTATAAAGATCAAAGGAAATAATCCATATATAGTGGCCACTGCAGGGCTTGACCCAGAGTAGGTACTCAATCAGGATGATTATTATAATTAGATTCATGTACTGAAGGCATAAAAACTTTTGGGCATATTTGTACAAATAAGGGACACGTCTGCTAAGGGACTTATATCTGAAATATGTAATGAACTCTTACAACTCAATAATAAAATGACTAATAATTAAAAAAATAGACAAAGGATCTGATTAGACATTTCCTCAAAGAAGATATACAAACAGCCAATAAGCACATGAAAAGATATTCAACATCATTAGCCATCAGGGAAATGCAAATCAAAACCACAAATGAGATCTCATTTCACACCCATAAAGATGGCTAGAATCAAATGACAGTAACAAATGTTAGGGAGGATGTATAGAAACTGGAACCCTCCTATACTGCTGGTACAAATGTAAAATGCTGCAGCCACATTTAGTTAGTAGCTCAAAAGGTTAAACATAGAGTTACTATATGACCCAGCAACTCCACTCCTTGGTACACACCCAAGAGAAATGAAAAGACTACGTCCATACAAAAACTTGTATATAAATGTTCAACCCTAGCATCATTCATAACTGCCAGAAAGTGGGAACAACCTAAATGTCCATCAACTGATAAAAAAAATGTGGTACATGCATACAATGGGATATTAGACAATAAAAAGAAATGAAGTACTGATATATGCTCTAATATGGATAAGCCTTGAAAACATTATGTTAAATGAAAGAAGCCATGAGCATATTGTAAGATTTCACTTCAGAGTAAGCAAATCTATAGAGACAGAATACAGATTAGTGGTTGCCTAGAGTTCTGGAGAAAAATGGGGAGAGGCAAGGAGAGTAGAATTTCTTTTTGTGGCGATGAGAATGTTCTAAAATTGACTGTTATGATGGATGCACAGCTTTGAGACTATGCTAAAAACTATTCACCTGGACACTTTAAATGGATGAATTATACAGTATGTGAATTATATCTAAAGCCGTATCACTCCCTCCCCCCCAACGCACACAAAAAGAAAAAAGCCTTCGGGGGCTATGTCACACAGTGAATGACAGGATGGCGACAAACCACACCAAAAATGCAGTGTCAGAATTAGTAAAGCTTTCTTTCAATCACACCTTCATATATTAAAACAACAACAACAAAACAATTAGCTAATTACCCCAGTGGAAAATTCCCAAGTTTCTGATCTTAGCCATAACTCCTTGGAGCCAACAAAGGCTTACCACTTTCTTATTTTTCTAAAGTGTACCAGGAATCTTGCACTGTAATTATAGTTCATTCATTCTTATTAAAGGTTTCCAAATAAAACTAGCTTAATTAAAATGTACTTTACCCTATTATTTTTGGAGACAGATTCAGCTAGGAATAATAGAACACCTACATTATGCTAGGTTTTTATGCTGGATATTTCCACATATGTTATGTCATTTTCATCATTATTACAACCACAATGAAAGATGCTAACTCCATTTGACAGAAGAGAAAACTGTATCTGGGGATGCCTGGCTCAGGTCATGATCCGGGGATCTTGGGATTGAGCCCTGCATCAGGCTCCCTGCTCGGTGGGAGCGCTGCTTCTCCCTCTCCCTCTGCTTGTGCTCTCTCTCAAATAAATGAATAAAATCTAAGAAAAAAAAAAAAAACTGTATCTGGAGATCAATGGCTCAACCAAGGTCATCTAGCCAAGGTCAGTAGTGGAGCTGAACCTGATACCAAGTTCAGTGATCACTATAAAAATAATGAATATATTTTTATAAAAACTTAAGACTCTCACCTCTCCTAAAATAGAATCACGAGAAGTATACTCATTTTAAAAGCACTAGAAAAACTCACTTGTCACAAACACAACATAACTTTAACAATTTATGAAAAAATGTACTTCTGAAATCATTCCAAATGCCTACTGTGTTCTATTCATGTGAAAGTTAATGTTTCTGAGTTTTAAGGACAAATATTCAGAACTCATGTTCAAATAATTCAAATGATTGTTATTCAGAGCCCCCATAAGTGAAGTATAAGATCCTTGAAAAGAGAAACAAGTTTCTATGAGGGAATCTACATTATAAGGTGATACAATATAAGTACAGGGCACTGACCTGACATTAAGAAAAGCTAAACTGAGCCAAATTAACTATTTGGGGATATTATGCTACCATGAACTTGAAGAAAACGCTTTTTGCGCCACTGATGGAAACAGTGACCAGCCTAAGAACCACCACTGCCACCACCATCACCTACATCACCATCACCTCCATCACCTCTACCACCACCATCACCACCCCACCCATGCAGCCCCAGCTGACCCCACCAACTCTCAATTCCAGGGGCAAGGCAGACTCCCTTCCCTTCTTGACCATGCTTATTCAGGAGACATTCACTGAGATCAGTAAGTGTCAGAAAACACTAAGAAAAGAATGTTCTTGGGGTGCCTGGGTGGCTCAGTCATTAAGCGTCTGCCTTCAGCTCAGGTCACGATCCCAGGGTCCTGGGATCGAGCCCCGCATCAGGTTCCCTGATCCGTGGGGAGCCTGCTTCTCCCTCTTCTGCTCCCCCTGCTTGTGTTCCCTCTCTCGCTGTGTCTCTGTCAAATAAATAAACAAAATCTTAAAAAAAAAAAAAAAAAAAGGAATGTTCTTGCCCACGAAGAGATCAGAATACTGAGGAAAAAGTATTTAACTTCAGGGCTTGGAAAAGATCGGAGTGCCCATCCCACCTCACATGTTCCACTGAAGAAACATGGTCAGAGCCACATGTCCCACCAGGAGCCAGTGAACCACAGAGCAGTGCCTTGAGCCGAGCCTGCAAGTCCCTGCCTCTCTTCACAATCCCATCCTGTCTGTTCCTATTCAGATGCTGGGGGGCATGGGGAGGAGAACCCAGCCTGGGAAACTACAGCCCATTATTTCAAAGAGCTCCCATAACATCTACATGCAGATAAGTCACTGATCTTTTAAAAACCAATTAATCCTCAAATAATCTGAAGTCTTGATTTTTCCTCATCCTGAATAAGAACTATTTTTAGAGCACTACAAAACCCTGGCAACCATAGTACATGCTCTTCTAGGACTGTGGGTGGGAAGAGGGGGACGTTAAAGTAGCATCATGGAGACTAATGGCACACACATCATGAGATGTACCCACAAGAAAAGGAGGCAACTGCTAAGGGAGAAATAAAGTTGTTTCTAAAATCACAGAGTAGGGCACCTGGGTGGCTCAGTTGGTTAAGTGACTGCCTTCGGCTCAGGTCATGATCTGGAGTCCCAGGATTGAGTCCCGCATCGGGCTCCTTGCTCGGCGGGGAGTCTGCTTCTCCCTCTGACCATCCCCCCTCTCATGCTCTCTCTCTCTATCTCATTCTCTCTCTCAAATAAATAAATAAAATCTTTAAAAAAATAAAAAAAATAAAATCACAGAGTAGCAGAGAAGAAATATCATAAAAAGTGACACAGTGCTGTGAGAATGTGAACGCAGAACTAGAAACAAAATTCAACTCTATCATTGTAGTATCCTGAAGGGATGTCAAACTACATCAGGGGACTACAAATAGGGATCACTTTTCCGAGTGCCTGGGACCCGTGGGGGAAACCCCACCGACTAGGACAGCTCTTTACTTTCACTATTTATGAGCAACATTACTTTAGCCCTTAGGCTGACCCTGGGGACAGAGACCAGCACAGGGCCTGGCACACAAGTCTCAATAACAATGCTGACCGTTCAGGGTCTGGATGGAAGAAACTACCCACATTATATTTTTTGGGAA